ACCACTTCTACCGCCACCACCACCACCGCTTTTTTTCTGTGACAGCAACTATTGCTATCCCCATCATCATCTCCTCTGCTGCCAACGTCTGTTGAGGACAAGGTTTTTACTATTAAGCTTATAGTATAGCTGGGAAGATAAAATATTTATACCCCCAAAAACGACTACATCAAAATCAACGGGAAAAGTTAATTTCATATTTCTTATCTGTGAAAAAGTTTTCATGATTTAAAAGTGTGAATAAAAACTCATCCATTTTAAAGAACTGGGACATAAGATATCCCTAAAACATTAAGAAACAAATCGTTGGCAATGACCTCTGAATTTTATTTATTCTAATAGGCTACTTTTGGCTAAAATTTGTCAATATTGTAGACCTTAGTTTTTGAGTGAAAATCCTTAATGTTTCAAATAAGGGTACAATAAAAACATTTCTGAGGGTAAAGATTTACATTTTTAAAACTGTATAGATCAAAGGAAATATAGCTCCCATCCCAAAATATGAAATAGACACCAATCATTGAGTAGTCTCCTGGTATTAGCATCAATTAGACTTCGTTCTTCTGTTGAAAACAGTACACAATTTCTTCTCTTTGGACACCTTAGTTCTCCCATAAACCAGAAACCAAACCAGTTGTCACTGAGTAGATTCTGACTCATGGTGACCCCCACATGTGTCAGAGTAGAACTGTGCTCCTGAGTTGGCTCTGGGTGGACTCGAACCTCCATACTGATGTGTAATTGGAATAACAGCAATACTAAAATAGGTTTTTCTTAATGGAGCTATTATTGGAAAGAACAAACAAGCAAAAAACAATCCTAAACTCTTCTGATATTTCCAAAATTATCAACTCAGGTAGTAGAAAGAGGCTTCCATTTGGAATCTTTAGGCCTTGCCTGTGTTTCTTATTCATGCTTGACCTTGAGCAGGTATTTTACTTTCTCTCAATCTTAGATTGTTCCTCGACACTGGGATTATTTTCTAGTTGAAGTGTTTTTTAAATGAAATCAAGTATTTTATAAACTGTTTTGTGCTGTATAGATAGAAATTAACATTATTAGATGCCCTGTTGTGTGCATAATATCTGTGATTGATTTCTTTTTGTTATGAAGCTATAGAAACACTTATTTTTTTATGTTACTGCATAGAAGTGGTCATCTTTTTTGGTGACAATCAGGTTTTATTGAATGTCTGCTAAGAAATCTTTCATGCTTTCCCTATAGTTCACTCTGTGTCCCTGTGAGATGGCTGTATGGTAATAATACCTAACTTTTATGCAGAGTTTTACAATTCAGAAAACTCACTCACATGTGTTATTTTGGCTTGTTCTTCAGACTAATTTTTGAAAATGTCTTTTAGGTGTATACAAGTGACTCGGTATTGACGTGCCCTGTGTGTTCTTTGCACTTTCACCCAAGTGTTTTAGTGAGATTTGAAGTTAGTTGCATTGTAGAAGGTATATTTGACCTGCGTATCCTAGAAATAATGAATAATGCTACTACTGGTTTCTTTTGTAGGTCAAAATGTAAATGTCTGCTGTAAATTCAGCTGGTTATTAAGCGTTTTCAGCTTCACTGTCCTGTTCTGTTTTCTGAATATGTGCACCACGTGCAGCTTGTCTTTATTCTTGGCGCTGGTGCCGTTTTACAGGTGCTGGTATTGACTTGTATGTACGTGCTGTTTCGGTTTTCCTTTGTTAAAATACAAACAACGTATGTAAGTATTCTTTTCTCTTTTGTTCTTTACAGCTGCGGATTTATTCACAGATTTAGAAAATGCATTTCAGGGAAAAATTGATGCAGCTTATTTTGAGACCAGCAAATATCTGTTGGATGTTCTCAATAAAAACTACAGCTTGCTGGACCACATGCAGGCGATGAGGCGGTACTTACTTCTTGGCCAAGGAGATTTTATACGACACTTAATGGATTTGCTAAAGTAAGAGACTGTGTCTGTCTTCATGTCCATAGTGGATTCAACATGAGAAAAAAGAGCCTTATAATTGTTTAATATTTATTTTAAGAATAAATGGCATTAGTGGAGAATGAGTTGAATTTTTACAGAGCATATTTTCTAAATTAAATTTGAAAAGCTAAAATTTTCAGAAGCTAAACTCCCTTTATTTGGCCGTGGCTACCAGCAGAGCATAAAAGTCTTGTGCTACGTTTTATTAATAATAAATATTTGGGCCCCTTGTTAACACTGTGGTACTTACAGTATTCAATGTATAAGAAGTTTATGATATAATCAAATTGACTTTAGCTTTAGTTCGAAATTAATCAGGAAAGAAAATGTATATTCTAAAACAACTTCTAGTTTCCTGGTTTTAGTTTACGTTGTTTCATGTAAAAAAAAAAATTAGTGCCCTTTCCTTTTTCCCCCGATATTCCTCGTGGCATCTCCCATTCAAGAATTAATTGTGTGTCCTTCCCCTTCATCCACAGAGATGCAGACAGCTCTGGGTCCGAGCAGATTATGCTCGTGGCTGCAGCCAGGGTACCTGGGCAACATTGGCCAGTGGGCACCCAGAGTTGTGGGGCACGGCGTGTGACAGGGAGATTTCATTTAGGTATTGATAAGAACGGAGCTTATTATTGATTGTGCTCCCCTTAGGGCACTTAAAATAGTAAGTTACCTTTAAATTATACTTGTGCTAATCAAGCAATTCTTTTAGGCCTTTGGTTCTCAAAAGTCAGTGTGCATCAGAATCCCCTAGAGGGCTTGTTAAAATGGATGGTTGGGCCCTACGTCCAGAGTTTCTAATTCAGTAGATCTTGGGTAGAAGTTAAGAATTTGCATTTCTAACATGTTCCCTGGTGATGGCAATGCTGCTGATGTGGGGACTGTGAGAACCACCATGTCAGACACGTTGCTGTTATAGTCCTACCTTCTAACCAGAAGTCAGCCTTCAGTATGAAAAATGATGGAGTGTTCTGGGGCATATGTAGCATTAGCTAATGACTCTTTTCTACATTACATGTTCATGAAAGACACTGTCAAATTGTTAGATCAGTTAGTTCGTGAAAGAGTTGATTATCTGCTAAACTTAAAATGCTCTGTGATGATACTTATCGAAGTAGCATTTCTATACTTTAAGAAAAGATTTACTACAAAGTTCAATATTGGTCATGCGATCAATACCTATTGGAAGTATGAGTGGTGATGACTTGTAAAGGATGAAGTGTTGTTTAAAGGTTATAGGGCTGAAATGTGAGTACACGTGAGGATGTGGGATGTGCAGACTCATGAAGTTACTCTGAAGGAGAGTGTCGGTGTAGACGTTGATGCATATGGCGATTCCAGGTCCTTTCTTACAGTGAAATACAGAGGTCCATGATAACATTATGTATGAAATCATTTAAATGACTTAACGTATTTGCCTCATGCGGAATTTGAATATTTAGAGCATCTCATTTTTGCTATTAAATGAAAAATCTTATTTTTTCTCAAAGGTTTGTTCTAAGTTTCCAGTTTTTAAAAGGGGAGTGCCATCAATATCTCTCTAGCTTGCCTCAGACTTACTTGAGAAAAGTTGACGTTGTATGTCTTTTTTCACCTTGTTTCTGCCCATTTTACTGTCATAGGCAAACTGGTTTCTAAAGGCCTGTGAACCGGTAGAGTTTATATGTGTGCTTGAGGGTGATTGCATATAATCCTGACTTGGTCAACTCTTGAGTGGAGAAGTGTTATGTGCATATTTAGAAGTTCAGATACTGGTAACCTCTGAGCTATGGTTGCTGATAATGCGGTCATTCTTAACCTTTTAGTATTATGACTTCCACGTACCTAGCTGTTTTCTTTGCTTTAATGAAGACATTTCATCCTTCTCACCCCTCGTGGGCTCTCATAAAGGAAATTATAATAATTCATGCTACTCATAGGGCAATCTTAAGTTTGAAAACTTTGTTAGCGTGTATGGCACATACAAATAGTTTCAATTTAAGCTCAATCAAAATTAATTTTTTTTGAGACTTAAAGAAACGTTTTACTTAATAATTGGTGAAACTCTGCTTACAATTAATGCTATGAAACATTTGTTACCACATTGTAGTTTTGGTCCCATTTGTCTTCTCAGTTTTATAATTTGAACTTTTTATGATTTTTAAGTTTTTAAAGTTCATTAATAATTCAAGTAACATTTTCTGTTATTTTTGTAAAAATCTTGTTAGACCAGAACTTGTCCGTCCAGCTACTACTTTGTATCAGCATAACTTGACCGGAATTCTTGAAACCGCAGTTCGAGCGACCAATGCACAGTTTGACAGTCCTGAGATTCTCAAAAGACTGGACGTTAGGCTCCTGGAGGTATTGTAACTTTCTCTGTTTGAGACGACATTTTTCTGGGAGGAACAAAAATTGACACAGTAGACTCCAAGACTGGGGTGTTGTAACTAATACTGCTCATGTTATTCAAGACATAACTCGTCTAGTCTAGTGGTTAAGAGTCACTATTGGAAGATGGGATGACTTGAGTTTGAATCCCAGCTCTGAAATTTGTTCTGTGAACTTAGGCAAGTCGCTTAATGTTTGAGGCTCACTAAGTCTCCGTTTACACATCTTTAAAAAAAAAAAAAAAAGGCTTGAGAACAGGGTTGTTAGGTTTAAATTGGATAAAGTACTGAAGATACATTTCACAGTGCTTGGTAGCACATACTAAATGCTTAGTAAGTCATAAGTTTGATAAGAAGCCCAAGAGGTGATGTATAACAATAATATTTATCAAAAAAAAGAAACATGTTTGTAGTCAGTTTGGTAGAAGGTAACTTTTCTTAGGGACATGGGTATGTAGACATTAGTATTTACTTAGTTACAGTGAAAATCATTAGCAGAACCTGTTAGTTTTCTTAAAATACTGACTTTTAAGGATTTGAAGAATGTTAAAAGTGGTGTAGTGGTTAAGTGCTACAGCTGCTAACCAAAAGGTAGGCAGTTCGAATCCACTAGCTGCTCCTTGGAAACCGTATGGAACAGTTCTACTCTGTCCTGTAGGGTCGCTATGAGTCAGAATCGACTCGACAGCAATGGGTATGTATGCAGGTATAAGGCAGTGTTTTTTTTGGTCATAAAAATGGTGATTAATTTTAAACATGTATTTACAATATTCATTCAGAAGTATTTGTAGAATACCTTCTCGGCTCCAGTCATTGTCTATATGCTGAGGATACAGGAGTTGACAAAAAGATGCAATTCCGTGCTCTCGTACTCAAAACTATTAAGCAGTTTTAAAATATTGGGCATTATTTTGCTGCATTTTCTTTGAGTGTAGACAAATGCTTCAGCAGTAAGCTTAACACTGGGAGAAAGCCCTGCCATTGTTTGTAATTTTTTTTTTTTTTTTTTTTGGTGTTAGGTCTCTCCAGGTGATACTGGCTGGGATGTCTTCAGCCTTGATTATCATGTCGATGGGCCAATTGCAACTGTAAGATTATTCTGATTATTTTTATGGTGTTCACAGCTATTTAGATTGGTAAACATTTTGCTGTCTTAAAATTGGCTTTCTTCTGAGAGAACTTCTCATTAAAGTGACCACTTGACATCTAGGGTATACCCACTGAATGAATACTCAAGCCGAGCTTGTATGTGTGTGTTCTAAATGATGATTAATGAGTGCTAAAATGCTCTATTATTTTAAGAATTCTTAAAAATACCATTTGTTCTATCATAGGATTCAGCAAGTGCTTAATAAATGGATTGTTGATTTTGTTCCATTATTCTTACACTGTAGCAACTAATTTAGGATAATTTGAAAGGAACTATAAAGTAAAGTGTATTTTAGGGGAATCATATTTTTACTACTAAAATAAACTTGGTATTTAGTATTCATTTAAACTGATGAGAAAATAGCTGTACTATTGTTGACAGTGCTTTTACCATGCATAAATAAATATACTGTTTCTTTTAACAATTACCAAATCATGAAAGATGGCCCAGCAAAGTTGTCTTTTTACGTATCTGCAATTAAAGTGCTCCTTCTTACTGCTCGTTTTTTCTTTAGTCACACTTAATACATTCTCACTGACAAAGATATCTCTTTGAACTAATTTTAACCATTTTTATATCTGAAATATATTAAAAAAGGAAATTGCATTTCTTTTAATGACTGTAAATATTTTGTTAGAAAGTACTATAGTTTGGCTCTAAAATCTCTTCCGGCTTAGTCTTGCAGCCTGACTTCGTGGCCCTTTTCCCCTGCCTCAGAATACAGATCATATGTCCTGCTAGGAGAATGTCATCAGCGTCACACCTTCCTTGTTTTTCTGTGTGGGTTCATAGGTTTGCGGCCGACAGATACGCTTGCTGTTGTCGTTAGGTGCTGTCAGGTTGATTCTCACCTGTAGTGACCCTGTGGAACAAACTAGAACCGCTCACAGGATTTTCAGGGAGCGACTGGCGGATTCAAACTGCCGACGTTTCGGTTCGCAGCGGAGCTCTTCTTCCCTGCGCCACCGTGTTTGTTGTATCTGCTGTGAAATGTCAGCTATTGGTGCAATTTTTTTAATATATGAATTCCCAGTGTTTAAACTTTACCCAGTTATAGCTAATATATTTAAATGTACAACTGCTCTTAAATTTAATTTTTTGTCATACTCAACCTTTTCTTCTGTCATTTGACTTACATCTTAAGGAGTTTTAATAGTTATAATGCACAAAGCAGTATGATATTTTAAAAAATTATTTAAATTAGAGATTTTTATATTACCTGCCTTTTCAGTATAGTATATATTAGATATATTTTCCTAGTATAAAAGATAGCATAATAAAGTTAATACATAAAATAGAAGTGTCTTGACAAATAGATCTAAGTATACCTCGAGAAATAATTAAAATAAACTGACCATGGTCTACATATGTGATATTAGGTTATTTTATAATGTTGCAGATCTTAATTAGGAGTATCAAAGATATGCATTTCGTACCTTTTGCATAAACAATTGTTTGTGCAATATTAGATTGTTAAATTTTAGAGTTTTTAAAGGTTCTGTATTGGTAGAAAGAGCCAAGCAAAGAAGTGTTTCATGGCTTCATTTTAAAAAACAAACTTCTAGGATAGAAATGGCAAATAGAGGTCAACTTGTATGCCAACTCCAGTGGATTGATTAGTGGCAACTGGAATATTGAATTGAGAAAGAGGAAGAAAAGAGTCCTATAGCTGATAAGCAGTGTTTGGCAGGGGCATAATAACAGGATATTGTTCTTTCCATGTCTGATATTTGCCATTCCAGTTCTGGGGTTAGGTTATTTCCTGGCATTGGTATATTTTTAGCTAAATTGCTATACCGATAATCATATTATTGTACAATTAGAAGTATTCAGACTAATATTAGAAATTGAAATAATTTTTAATTATCAGAGAAAAATTAAATTGGATGCAGTTGCATACAAAAGCTACAGGGAAGATAAAAAAAGGACGGTTGTATTAAAAAATACTTTTAGAATTAAGATTTGGAAGAAAACGGGTTTGCTACTTTCCCTTCTTAAATTTAATTTTCCTTGTTAACTCTATTCCCCTTCTATTCTAATTAATTGAGGTTATCATTTTTGTATAGAATTTAATGATAATGGATACATATCTTATATAATCTAATTATATAATTATATCTTATATAACATACCATTAAACTTTTAGCTTCACACTTAAATGCTGGATTTAAAATATCAGTTAAGTTTTAGTATTGGTCTAATTTGAAAAATTAATCTGAGAAATTAAAAACATTACTTAAAAGTATGTTAGCTGAATAAAGCACATTAAGTAGTTCTAAAATTAATTTTTGTTCATTATGTTTTTAATGAATCTTAAACTATTTGGGAAAATGAATTATTTTATCCAAAATTTTAGTATGGTGAGGTCATTTAATGTTGGTGACACAGTGGTTAAAGTGATCAATTGCTAAGTGAAAGGTCGGCAGTTGGAAACCACCAGCGCCTCTGTGGGAGAAATTGGTGGCAGGCGGCTTCCGTAGAGATTTACATCCTTGGAAACCCTATAGGGTCACTATGAGTTGGAATCGACTCGATGGCAGTGGGTTTGGTTTTTTGGTTTTTATACAACTAAGGAAGGATTTATGGTTTTTTTTTAAGTCACAAAGTTGTAATGTTTGGTATAATAGCCTAATGTTAGCCAAAGAAGGATATGGGAAGACTTTCTTTAATCTTCTGATTTTGACAGCTGGCAGATAGAATCCATTCATTTCCGTCATACATTTCCAGGAACCAGTGTCAGAAACTTACCTGTTTAATATTTCTCTCAACTCTATTTTACAATAAGAGATGAGCTGAAAGACCTTATAAATAGTAAAACTAAATAAATGTGGTTGATGTTTACTACTATAGAAATGCAGTGGAATAGGAAAGTTACCTCTTAAAGAGTTAATATTTCTAAAGAGTTGTGATTAAATTGAATTTTTGCAAATTAGATCACTGTAAATGTACTATCAGAGCTTAGTACTTAAAGGGGTCCTGTAACATATTATTTGTTTAAGGAAGTATGCTTTAATTTAGCCATAAAATTATTTAAACTGGTCAGCCTATATTTCTATAATTGCAAGAACATTAATAGTGTGGGCAGTACAGCAAAATGGATAATCTCCAAAACACTCATATTTGATTTTGCAGTACCTTCAAAGCAGTTCTTAAAATCACCCTGTTCAGACATTTAATAATCAATCAGTATCGAGTACCAACCAAATACCTGGCACAAAAATGGCATACTGAAGAATAAATAGATAGTCCTTGCTGATTGTTGAGAAATAACAAATACATGAAATAAGAAAACAAGGTAAAGCAGTATACAATTAAATACTAAAATTGTAAGGATCAACCAGTAGATATCATAAATGTCCAAAGAAGAAGGAAATTGGTGAGACTGGGAAAGATGTGTGGCCCTTGTCCTTGAAAGATGGATAGGTTTTAGACAGGTGAAATGATGGAATAGGGCCTGAACAAGACATTAATGTGGATAAAGACCTAAAGATAGAAATGTTCAGGGCTGTGCTCCAGGGATATTGACAGGGTAGAGCATTTGCTCCTTGGTGCCCAGCCTAGTCCTGCTGTTGAGAGCTCCAATCCGTCTGGAAGATATAGAGGAAGAACTTGCAGATAGTCTGTTTCTAGTTCATTATATTGTAAGTATAAACACCAGTAACAAATGTAGATGAATTTTCTGTCTGGGTCATCTAGTAAACAATAAAAATGCACCCAAGTCTGTTATGCACACTCGTTTATATCAGTTAGAAACGTCTTTGGCTGCAGTTTGCAGAAAACTCTGTTACCTGTTTGCACGGGCCATACTTACAAGAAAAAAAGTTGTGGTTTATCTGAAATTCAGACTGTAATTGAGCATTCTGTATTTTCATTTGCTAAATCTGGCAGCCCTCCGTGGGGGGCGGCCATGGGAAGGACGCCGAGCACAGTCTGCCTGGTGGTGGCTCATCCCCCCTGCTTGTGAAACTGCCTTCCGTTCACACTGATGTGAAGTATTCAGAAGCAGTAAATAAATAGAGTAACCTGGAGAACTTTCTCAGACTGGACAGACTTTTAGGCCTACCTTCCATGAGGTTCACTACCATAATGAGCTGTGGTTTAAAAGAAAGTGTGGTCCTACCTCCCGTAGCCCTCGGGTAGTTTAGGGTAGAAAAAAATGGCTACACGTTTGGGGTTACAGTTGAGTCTACACTTCACATTTAGACTAGAAGTAAAACTTCTGACTCTCCGTTTATTAGCTGTGTAACCTTAGGCCTTTGGCTCGCCGTTTGTAAAATTGGTATAAAAGCACCTACCATACATTACTGGGAGTTTGCTCAGCATATTCCTTGGCACATAAATATTCAATCAGCGTGGTGGTGGTTTTATAATGATACTTTTCTAAAATGTACCGTATTGGTTGCTTGCATGTGAATTTATTAGAGTTGTTTATGTATTCTCTGGCTTTATTGTTTAAAAGAAAACAGACCTGTATTGGAAGGATTCTTATGCAAGTGATACTGTACATCTGTCTTCTGCTGTTCTTGTTAGGTATTTACTCGAGAATGTATGAGCCACTACCTGAGGGTATTTAACTTCCTCTGGAGGGCTAAACGGATGGAGTATATCCTCACCGACATACGGAAAGGACATATGTGCAATGCCAAGCTCCTGAGAAATATGCCAGGTAAAATATTAATTAGATAGGCAGTTGAAATAGATGATGGGCTAACTTTATAGACATTTACCAGAAACATTGCACTGTGTATGGTTTTCAGCAACTCAGGAAAAATCATAGTGTATATAAAACAATTGAACTAAAGAATGATTCATTATTTACCTTTTGGTTTTGGCTTTTGTTTAAAAAGCTCATGTGCAATATTGCTTATGATTTCAGTGCAAATCAGAAAAAAAATTTAGATTTTTTTTTGAGACCTTGAAGCTTTTCAGAATCAAATTTGTTTTTCACTATAGTGCTCATATATGTATGTCAATTTTGTTTTAAAAATTGCCAGTTTTTAAGAAAAGAAAGCTGTTTAAGAAATCGCTGGCTCATTTATAATTCACCTAGCCAGTGTTTAAATTATTTCTTGGGAATTGCTCTAATGTTTTCTTTTGGTTCATAAACCAGCACATGAAATTATTTTATATTGTTTTTTGACATTTTAAAACTGTAATAAAAATTATCAGGTGTCATGATTAAGGTAAATATTGAATGACTTCAATTATAAATAATTTTGAAATCTTTATATTGAAATTGATTTGGTAAAAATCTTTGAGAAAATATTTCAATAACTATGTCTCTGAAGAAGAACTAAACTATGTATGCCTGTAACTCTGATTAGTAAAAAGCAATTATTAAAAAAAGAAAAGGAACACTTCTTAGAAGAAGAGAGTACATGATCTCTGCTAGGTTTGAGGCTAATCCCTTGAACAGCTACCAAAGTTCCAGAAGAATGACGTGCATAGAAGGCTGCGAGACACAGTGGTAACCTGCCTGAGTCAGGTGTTGAAATATGCAATCAGCAGTTTTTACTAGGTTGTTGATATTAACTGCCATCGGGTCGGCTCCTGACTCATAGCAACCCCGTGAGTAACAGAATGAAACACTGCCCCATCCTGCAGCATACCCACGACTGGTTGTAGATCAGACTGTGGGATCTGGAAGTAGGTCACCAGGCCTTTCTTCCTAGTCCCTCTTAGTCTAGAAGTACCGCTGAAGCCTGTTCAACATCATAACAACACGCAAGCCTCTGCTTACATTCCCAGCAAGCTTTTTTCAATGGGTCATGACACAGTTATGATCACGGTCTAGGTTCCTCTGGACTGATTGTATATAAAGAAAATTAACGATAGGAATCCACTGAAATAGCTGAGAAGAAAGTCAGAGGGGACTTTTTAAAAACACGTAATTGTTGTGAAAAGTACGTACTGCCTTCCTAGTTGCCTTCTATGTCCTGGTGAACGTGGGTTGACTTAAACGCAGGGATTGCCTCTGGGATGGGGGCAAGACCAGGAATTAGTCAAGAGGAGATTTTACAGTAAGTCTTCCAGTGCCGTATCTGTGTCTGGATGTGTTACTCAGTTTGCCTTCGATGTTGCTTCCCTCTGCATTCTTTTTAATGCCATTGAGTGGGTCAGTTCTTGGCTGTCACTTCACTTTACCAGCATCCTTCATAGTGTCTGAGTTAGATCGGTGTAATACAGATACTTTGTCATTGTATCACTCTTATCCTTTCAGAATAGGCGTCTGTGTTACTTTTTTGTTCATTTATTTATTGTACTTTAGGTGAAGGTTTAGAGAACAAACTAGCTTCTCGTTAACAATTAGTACAATTAGTACACATATCGTTTTGTGACACTGATTACCAACCCCACAACATGTCAACACTTCTTGACCTTGGGTTCCCTATTACCAGCTTTTTTGTCCCCTCCTGTCTTCTCGTCCTTGTCCCTGGGCTGCTGTGCCCCTTTTGTCTTGTTTTGTTTTATGGGGCCGTCTAATCTTTGCTGAAGGGTGAACCTCAGGAGTGACTTCATTACTGAGCTAAAAGGATATCCGGGAGCCATACCCTCAGGATTTCTCCGGTCTCTGTCAGGCCAGTAAGTCTGGTCTTTTTTTTTCTTGAGTTAGAATTTTGTTCTACATTTTTTTCCAGCTCTGTCCGGGACCCTCTGTTGTGATCCCTGTCAGAGCGGTCAGTGTTGGTAGCCGGGCACCATCTAGTTGTGCTGGACTCAGTCTGGTGGAGGCTGTGGTAGTTGTGGTCCGTTAGTCCTTTTGACTCATCTTTCCATTGTGACTTTGGTTTTCTTCATTCTGCCTTGCTCCCACTGGGGTGAGACCAGTGGAGTATCTTAGATGGCTGCTTAGAAACTTTTAAGACCCCAGATGCTACTCACCAAAGTAGACTGTAGAGCATTTGCTTTATAAACTGTATTATGCCAGTTGAGCAAGATGTTCCCCGAGACCATGATCCCCAGTCCTCAGGCTAGTAATTTGGTCCCTCAGGGAATTTGGATGTGTCTGTGGAACTTCCGTGACCGCCTTGGACGTATTGTGCTGGCTTCTCAAGTATTGCGTACTGTCTTAGCCTTCACCAAAGTTACCACTTATTGATTGTCTATTTAGTGTTTTTCCACCTCCACCCCCCCCCTCATAACCATCAAAGATTGTTTCTTTTTGTGTGTAAATCTTCTTGTGAATTTTTATAGTAGTGGTCTCATACAATATTCGTCCTTTTGTGATTGACTTATTTCACTCAGCATAATGCCCTCCAGATTCATTCATGTTGTGAGATGTTTCTCGGGTTCATCATTGTTCTTTATTGTTGTGTAGTACTCTGTTGTGTTTATGTGCCATAGTTTGTTTAGGGCATCTAGGTAGTTTCCAACTTTTTGCTATTGTGAACAATGTTGCAGTGAACGTGGGTGTGCATATGTCTTTTCGTGTGATGGCTCTTACTTCTGTAGGGTATATTCCTAGGAGTGGGATTGCTGGATCATGTGGTATTTCTATTTCTAGTTTTCTAAGGAAGCACTATATTGTTTTCCAAAATGGTTGTAACATCTCTTTTTAATCTCTGGGATATCTGAGCTCTATAACATGTTAGGTATTAGCTGGTTGTGATACATTTTTTTGCTTTGAATATCAGCTTTACCAGTTGCTGTAGAGTCAGGTTGACTCATGGTGACCCCATGAGTGTGAGAATAGAACTGTGCTCTGTAGGGTTTTTAATGACTAATTTTTTGGAAGTAGATTGCCAGGCCTTTCTTTCAAGGCACCTCTGAATGGACTCCAACTGCCAACCTTTTGGTTAGCAGCCAAGCATGTTAACTGTACCACCCAAAACCCAAAAAACCAAACCAATTGCCGTCGAGTCGATTCCAACTCATAGTGACCCTATAGGACAGAATAGAACTGCCCCATAGGGTTTCAGTTGTATCAACTTAATTTACATCCAAGTAAGCGCAACACTCATTGCCTGACAGTTGTCCATGTCACATATTTTTGCTAACATTAGATACTGTATTCAAACAGCCAGTTTGATAGATGACAATGAAGTTTCATTTTAATTTATTTCATGCTTTTGAAATCATTGATGAGTGTAGACATTTTCTCTCCTTTTTTTTAGCCCTTTGCATTTTTTTAAAATTTTATTTTATTGTACTTTAAGTGAAAAGTTTACAATTCAAGTTAGTCTCTCATACAAAAATTTATACATACATTGTTATGAGACCCTAATTGCTCTCTCTATACTGTGACAACACATTACTCCTTTCCACCCGACTTCCCGTGTCCATTCAACCAACTCCTGACCCTCTCTGCCTTCTCATCTCACCTCTGGACAGGAGCTGCCCGTTTAGTCTCACGTATCTGCTTGAGCTAAGAAGCACACTCTTCACGAGTATCATTTCATGTCCCATAGTCCAGTCTGATCCTTGACTGAAGAGTTGGCCTCAGGAATGGTTTCAGTTCTGGGTTGACAGAGCCCAGGGGCCATGCTCTTTGGGGTTCCTCTAGTCTCAGTCAGAACATTAAGTCTGGTCTTTTCACTAGAATTTGAGTTCTGCACCCCACTCTTCTGCTCCATCAGGGACTCTCTGTTGTGTTCCTCGTCAGGGTGGTCATTGGTGG